ATAATTATATAAATTTATAAATATATAGTTATATAAATTATATTTATATTTACATGTGTCTTCCCCAACATATCCTTTAAACCTTTCATATGTCCTTTACATCTATCAGAATCCAGTATTTGCTTAATAAACATTTATTGAACTGAATGAAAGAGAATATTTGAGAATACATTGGAAGATGTATTACCAGGAGCCTGAAAATTTGTGAATCTATAAGCCTATTAACTCAATGTTTTTAAAAGCCTCAGATTTTATCTTCTTAATCTCACATTAGTATTTCTTTGAAGTTTATTTAAAAATAGCATTTACTCCCTTATTCCCTTTTGACAGTAATTCTGATGCGAAGAAAAATGCTTTGAATTTGAGATGGCAAAGCATGAATTCAGGCCAAGGCTTGGTAACTTTTGGTTGAGTGGCCTTGGACAAGTTACTTTTCTGATTTTACCATTTATAACATACCTGTGGTGTCATTAAAAATAAAGTTACAAAAACATCATTAGTAGTGAACCACCACATAAATCCAAAATCCTCATGCGACTGCACAACCTATTTCAAAGACTTTTTCAGTACATGGAAGGATTTATGTTAAGAAATACTTGCTTGCTGACATGTTCCCCGTTTGCCCACACTTAGCTTTCTTAGAACATTGGAAGATGTATTACCAGGAGCCATAGAGCAAACACCATTAATTCCAATAACCATAGTGGCTTACTGAGTGTGTTTGACTACAAATCTTAGGCAAAATAAACTGAAACAATTTCCCAACATGTTAGCTTGTGTTTTATCAATTATTGTAATTTACTGGAAGATGTTATGATTTGGATCTACAAGTGTCCTCCCAAAAAGATCATGAGTTAGGCAATGCATTAATGTTCAGAGGTATTATGAGAGCTGTAACCTCATCATTGGATTAATCAATTGGGTTGAAATAATAATCTGAATGGACTATTGGGTAGTACCTGTAGGCAGCTAGGCAAGGCTGGAGGAGATAGGTCACTGGGGATAGGTACTTGGGACTATATCTTGTCCCTGGCTCCCATCTCTCTGCTTCCTGGCTGCCGTGAACTGAGCAATGCTCCCCCACCATGCTCTTCCAGCATGATGGTCTGCCTCACATCAAGTCTAGAGCAATGGAGTCAACCAACCATGGACTGAGATATCTAAAATTATGAGTCCAAATAGACTTTTCTTCCTCCAACTAATTATAGGCAGGCATTTTGGTTATAGTGATATGAAACTGAGTAACACAGAACAATAACAATTTCAACTCATTTCTTACTTTCATATAGAGAGTTCTGAATCATGGGTGTCAAACAGGAGAATAAATGTTTTTACAATGGGTAGGTTTTCTCTCCCCAACTACATTTTAAGCTGCTTGGAATGGATGCTGCAACTCACAGGTCATATATTATGCCATTGCAACAGTGTTAGGAGCAGAAAGTTACACATTTAAAAGCCACAATGTTATGGATGTTAGTTTAAAACTGTTAGTTCCTTTAAATTCCACGGCATAGGGCTGGGGATGTGGCTCAAGTTGTAGCGCACTCGCCTGGCATGCGCGAGGCACTGGGTTTGATCCTCAACACCACATAAAGATAAAAGAAAAGATATTGTGTCCACCTAAAACTAAAAAAATAAATATTAAAAAAAATTCTATGGCATGGGTTCAAGAAGTAAAAATAACAATATTACTGGCATGAGCTACAACTAGGGGCTGAAGAATGGGGTATAAAATGCTTATTGATACTGAAAGTAAATAAAGTGTAGACATTTTTATTGAAAGCAAATAAAGGATAGAAATAGTATCTACTCACTTACATAGCCTAAAGTCAATTTTAATTGGAAGGAAAATAAAAAGGAATCAGGTTCAGGCCTCATAGGGAAAGCTAAAGAGACTCCATCACCTTTTACCCCAAGTTATTTTGGTTCCAAAGTAGAGAAGAAAAATACCAAAAAAAAAAAAAAATCAATAAGAACAAAAATAACCACAAAGCAGAAGACAGGAAGAAGTCAGCAACACTAAGAACAAGGCAGCTTTTCGTCTGTCATGCTGGGGCCTGCAGAAGGCAACTCCAACAGAGGACTTGTTGAAGTGGTACAGCATCTGATTAAACACTTCCAAATCAGGCCAATGGTCACATGAAAGGCAGTGGGGCCCAGAAAGGACAATTGACACCACCTGCCCCTGAGCATTTCACACTCTGTCTGAAGCCCACTTCTTCCCTAAGACTGATAGAGACTGCACCTAGAGACCCAGAGTGTGGTCAGTGGGCAGGACTTTGACACTGATTCTGAAAGAAGAAGAGCAGGCAATCCGACAAGACTGAGAAGATAAAGGAAGTTTGATTGACAACCCGCTGACTCCTATCTTGAACCACAATTTTGTATCTTTATTTAAAATTTAAAAAAACGAATAGCTGCTCTGCTAGAAACTACTTATATCAGTTGTAAAGTTTTGTTTTATTATGATATTTTAATTCGTATCAAGCTGGCTTATCACTAAACTTTGAGTCTCTATTTTCTAAAGAGGAGCAAGAATCTTTCACATTAACAGTCTTGCAAGAATACTGTTGAGCAGTGATTAACCTATCTCCAGCCATAAAGGTCAACACCATCAAGGGACACTAAGAGGCAAAGAAAAAAAGATCTATGATATTGATTCAGGACAGTTACTTGGTGACCTGCTAATGGGTAAACTTCCTAAGCAATAGTTTCCTTTGTGAGAGTTGAGAATTATGAAATTTTGCTGGATCTACCAAAATAGGGTTCTTATTTGAAAATCGTCTGCCTTTTTCCCATTTGTCATTGGACCTCACTGACAAACTCAACTCAAAAGAGGAAAGGGGATGTTGAAGAAGCAAAAAAGCCACACGTGGACATATAACAGTTGACCTCATTTCCTTACCTGAAATTTAAGAAGATCAAACACAAGGATGATATATATTTAAGATGATAATTTATGTAACAATTGTTTTTCAAAAGCTCTTTTAAAGTATAAACTCTTCTGGTGGAAAAATACATACATGATGTACAAAAACCATGACTTAACATAAATCAGCTTCCACTCTTTCTTTTGTAACCATGTGCTCTACTTCCCCCAATCAACTGGCCACATCTCAAACTTTCCTCACTCTTCCCATCAAGACACATAACTCCTCCAGAATGCCCTTACGGAATTTCAACTACCAAAATCAACCCCACTCTTCAAGAAGCTAGCTCACACGCTGCCTCTGCAGATAAACTTTCCACAATCTGTGGTCCCTGAAGTAATCTCATCTTACTCTTAGAACCCGCCAAAGCAGAACTTATCACAGTCCTCTCAGCCTTATCATATTTATGTTTGTCTTCTGTCTTATAAACAATATCTATGCCCTTCTTAAACTCTGCTTTTAAATCCACATACATTATCTTATTCATCCTGTACCTCTTACTACCTAGGTGAGGCTGGCAAATTACTCATCATCTCTCCAAACCTCAACTTTCTTATTAGGAAAATGAGAAACTTAATTGTACACATCTCACAAAGTCAGGGAGACCTAAGAAGATTATATAAAACACAGAAACATAAAAGTTAGATTTTGCCCATTATTATTACTACCACATTGTTATTTTATAAAGCGATCTGTTAAATATTTTATGAAATTATATTTAGAATACATGGAATAATGTAGTGTTGCATTGGTCAGGAAGAGGAATACATTGCTTTTAAGTTGATTTTAGTTTATGTCATGAAAAAAAAGAAAAAATAGACACCTCTAATTTCAGTCTGACATCTTCTTTTGTTTTAGAAATATAATCTAAATTAGAGATGGCTGACTCCACTCCACTGCAGTACTGCCCATAAATAACCAATCTGAAAAGGAAAAAGAGAGAGGAAGAAATCTGTTAGACAAAAGCAAAAAATCAGGTGGAGGGGGGGAAAGTGTATAACTTTTCATCTCTTTAAAATCACAGCTGAGGATAATCAAAGCAACAGTAGAATCCTTTTTAACACATAACACAAATACAAAGAATGCAGGTCACTCATATTTACAGTAATAAAAAGACTTATTTTTAATTCCAAATTTGAATAAGATTAATTTCCATGTACATTTTTATATCAGGTAGATTTTATGATCTGGCTTAATGACAATGTCATTTGAGTGGATGTGTATATTTATACCTCAAAATATTAAAAATTTATTGTTAAGCTATTAGAAATAAACTTGGAATGTATACTCACTCTCAAAACCATTTTATTTTTTCCATTATAAGCTCACTGCAATCACTATGACGCCACTCATTAATAAACCTCCCACTCCTTACTACTTTTTAATTAAGGAACATACATCATATAAAAAGTGGAAATGAGAGGCCTGAACTATGAGATAACTCATAACTGTTCAGAGTCTGAGTCTGTCCAGGAAGGCCATCTCTCTAATACAGATATTTTGTAAAGAAACTGTTTGATTTATTGTCTCTTTTAACCCTCTGCCAGAAAAAAAACTACTAATAAATTGTTAGTATTTATCTAAATGTTGATGCAAAGCAATTCATTAGCCATTTCTTAGTACTAGAAACTGTATTGCTTAAATGAGAGAACATTTTAAGTAAAATTTCTTGATATTCCGATTCTTATGAATCATTCAGGAGTTTTGTTTTGTTTGTTTCAATTCAGAAAGAGAAACTGACTTTGAGGCTAATTCTCCAAAATAGAAAATCATAAAATACTTGAGTTGGAAGGGGCATTAGGTTCCTGCTATTCTGCCCCTGATGCTCATGAATTGGGAAAAAAGAGGCTCAGAGAGTTAAAATGACTTAGTGCAAGATTACATCATTTAGTCGAGACAAGGCCAGAGGAAGAACCTCTGCCTTTTGATTTACCATGCAAAAGTTAACATACATAAAAAGCTCAAACTAATACCCTGAGATCAACCGTCCCATATCCTAATACTATCTAGCTAGTACTGTAACAACTATAGTTAATAGCTATTAGCCATTTTCATACTAGTCTTCACCATAATTATAAACTAATACCGACAAGGTTTTAAATTCAAGAGTTACCTTTCCTTGTAGTTAATGAAAACTTGATACAAATTCTGGTCATTTTTATTTACAATGGAATCATGAATTTCTTGCATTAAGTTCCGATGAACTTTTACAAGTTCCTTAGAAAAGAAAACAATGGGAAAGAAGAGTAGTCAGAACCAAAAATATACCCAAATATACTGGACTTGCCACTCAGGATATGCTGAATGTTCTCAATATATAAACCTGCTACCATTAAGGAAGAGAGGAAGATTTAGAAGGGAGGAAGGCAGGGTGGAGGAGGGAGAGCAGAAGGGGAAGAGGTAAAGGAAGAAGAGGGAGAAGAAAAGGGAAATGAGGAGGGAGAAAGGAAGAGAAAGAAAGAGAGACAGGCATGGGAAATAGCAATTTCAGATCTGACTAGAAATGTCTGTGTCCTGTGAAGAAAGAAATTATCCCACTGGCTATTAAAGGATAATTTATTTCTTGTACAAAAATATGTATAGCTTTTTCATTTTTATAATTGCTGCAAATTTTTAAATAAAACTTCCCAAGTACTTAATGTTTTATTGACAGAATAAAGTAATGATTCATGTCCTTAGGACATAGAAATGTAGATTTGTACTCTGGTCAATTAGTGGTGTCCTGGTGATAAGTTAACAATAATCAGACTAAATTACTTGAAACCAGACAACTAATGGCATAAATAAGAAGCAAATGAATTGTACTAGACAATTTACTAAAGCAACTCAAAAGACAGAATTCTACATTTTTCCTGATAAGCGAGTAATTTTCAACTGCCAGTAAACACATGTCACAGACAGGAAATTTGAGTCAAGGTACCAATTTTCCCTTTATCTCTTCCTTTGGACCTTGAAGCACACAGAGATGCCACAGAATGCTCTTTCTGTAGTAGGGCAATAATTAAACCTGGATGTTGGCCTTATCATGTTGTTGAGGAGCACAGGCCTTAAGGATGAGGACTGTCAATGGGTTCTAAGAATGATCACACATAAATGGATTAGGATCCCTGTTTGCTAGTCTGTGCGGTTTATTTTATGCCAGATCTTTGTTTGATAAAACTGAAAGAAAATGCTCACAATGTTACAAGCCAATGAGGATGTGTTTATTTGGTCTTAATCAGGGATAAGGACAACATGCCAGAACTTATCACCTGGTGATCAGAAACACAGAACATAAGAGACTCAAAAGGGATTTTTTAATGTGATATGAGAAAGCCTATACATGGAAGCTCTTACATGTGTGTGCGTATGCACATGTACACCCATCTGTGTGTGTACATATGAACTAAAAAGCAAGTTCTAGAGGTCTAACATTCTGAATCTTGCCTGACAGCACTTCGTTGGATGCAGCATTTCCTTTGATTCTACATTTCTGAGCAAATCTCCATTTAGGATTCTAAGATGCCCTGAAACTTGAAATGCATGCATAAATGTGAAGAAAATATTTTCACATTTTATCATTAAAATAGTCCAGTAAATTATAAGAAAGCTGTTTCAGATGTGAGAGTCATTGGAAGCATCAAAGTCCAGAGGCTAAGGAAGTAGAGGTAGAGAGTTAGGTAGAGGTAACTGACATCCTAGGAGCTAAAGGAGCACTAGAGCAGAGAGAAGTGGGCTGGACAGAACCCTAGAAGACACAGAGTAGTACTAAGGATCATTTAATTACCTCGAACTACCTCCTTGCGACAGTTAGAAAGAACACATCTTATTTTTCCATTCGTGTTCCTACATGCATTTTGACTAAAGATATGACATATCAGTTTTTCAAGAAAGTAAGGGCAGAAAAATTTGGGAAGCAAAAATAGGGTCAAAATTCTTAGAGAACACAGGAGAGTGTTATAATAGGAATCTGGAGCCTACTGAGAAAATGAGGATTTTACAGAAGTGCATCACAATTTTAGCTATCATATTTTTACTTACAGGAATGTTGATGAATACTGAATCAAATTCTGCTGGTGTAAGAAATCTCTTCAGTGGTGCCATGAAATACTACCAGGAGAGAAGAGGGAAGCAATAATTACCCTTAACTTGCCCTAATCAATATAACGAGTTTTTAATCAACAAACAAAAATTACTGAATTCATTTGTTAATCAACATTATAAATACCAAAAAAGTAGAAATTATTCTCTTAAAGGTTTTATGCTTGAGATATAAAGAAATAAATACAAGCTATCATATTTGAAGTACATAATAAAAGGTTTAGACAGTAAGTACTCTGAGAAGAAAGAACACATTGGCCAAGTTGGTAAACAATGACACTGGAGATACATTTGAGGACTTATAGAAAACATCCCCAAAACACACTTTGTAAAAGATTATAGACATTTGAGATCAATAATCTGTTTATGCAATTTGTACATCACTTTCCCCCCAATATGTGAGAATTTTAGTTCCAGGTCTGCCATACCTTTTTCATCCTTGGCAATCTCAGAATCTGTGCAGATGATCCTCCCAATAGCCGAGCCTCTAATCTTACTCACAACATAAGATTATTGGCCTCTAATAATCTTATGCTCCAGTCTAGCTCAGCTCCCAAATCTCATGGTCATACCTGAACACCGTGTTTTTATCAAATAACATACATGCTTTATAGGTTAATTTCAGGAACTCACCTCTCGAATCCCTACCTCCTACTGTAACAAGAAATTGTTCAGCCCCACAGGGTCTGCTAATCCACTGGATGTCCATATCCCTCATGTCCCCACTTTCCTCCCTACCCACTTTATAATCACAAACCATCATCAGAGTTATTTCTCTGCATACTTGCTTTCCATCTTTTCTTCCATTGTGCTTTTCTAGAAAACCAAACCCTGACTTTTGTACCTATATCTAACAAATTAAGCATGAACTAGAGTGATAGTCTAATTTTAAATATGACCATGAAATTCTATGGCTCCTATAATGCTACACAGTCCTGTTAAAAAACCCTGGTCCATTTAATCTCTCACAGTCCTCAACAACTCTTCCATACCTTTATCTTTTCCTAAACCTAAACCTTTCTTCCTGGTTCTCATTTTCCTAACCTCTAAATGTGAAAGTCAGCAGGAGTGGCCTCAAACCTTCTCCCTTAGAGCATGCATCCCCTGGAGTAATCTCACTTAGTTCCACAGCCTTAAATTTCACTGTGTGATGATAAAGGCCCAATGTGTTCATCAGTTCAACATTTCCCATTACTGCCAGACTGACATGTTCCTCAATACACCCCACCAGAAGTCCAAGAGGTATCACAAATTTAATATGTTCCACAGATTCATGATCCTCAACCCTTCCTTCCCCATCTCAGTAAGCATCTTTACCATTCATGCACTGGCTCAAGCCAAACCTAGTAGTCATCCTTGATCCCTCTCTTTCTTCACATCCTTTTGCCTAATCCATCACCCAAGCCAGGAGACTCTACTTTTAAAATACCTTCTGAATCTGAATATCGCTTGCCACTTCTATCAATACCACCATTTTCTGTCATCATGAAAATTACAACATGCATCTAATTTTTCTCTCACTTCCAGCCCTTGTTCACAAGAGCCAAAATGAGATGTTCAAGATTTTAACTGCTATTGTATCACATCTGCTTAAAATGTCCTAGCTTTTGTCCCCATATAGGCTGCTCTCTGAACCGTGCACTCCCCTTTGCTCATTCTGTTCCAGCCCTGCTGGACTGCTGCTGTTCCCTGAAGCACAGTCTGAATACTCTCCCACCTGAGGGTCTCTCTCCTAGAACTCTCGTCCCTGCACATGTGCATGGCTTGTGCCTTCAATGCACTGGCTCTCAGTTTAAACACACCATCTCATCACAAAGACCTTCCATTATCATTCTCTCTACCTTCCTTCTCCCCACATTCTCCCCTTTCCCCCAACTTGTTTCTCTTGAGAGAACTTACCATCCTTATGTGCTTTCATTCTAAACCATGAGACAGAAAGTGCCAGAGTCCTGTCAGGTTGACTGCTACAGCCTCAGTTCCTAAAACAGTGCCTCTCAGATATAAAGAAATCAACAAATCTATGGAATGAATAATCTGCTTTGATATTCTTCCTTTTTCCTTTTTTAAAAGTGCTTTATTGAGACATAATTTACATATTATACAATCCACCCATTTAAAGCATACAGCCCAACGTTTATTAGTATGTTCACACAGTTGTGCAAACATGACCACAATCGATTGTGGAACACTTTTATCAGCCAAAAGAGAAATTCTGTATCCATTAATATCTTCTTCTCTACCCCTGTCCTATCTCTCACCACCTATGCCTATTACCAACACCATGCAGCCCCAGACAATCACTTAACTACTTTCTTTCTCTGTTTTTGCCTATTCTGGACACAGTTTTTAAGATACTCCTCCTATCTAACTGTAATTCTACTTCCTTTGACCAACATCACCCTATCTCCTCCCACCCCAGCCACCTAAGCCTCTGGACAACACTGCTCTACTCCACTTCTTTGCCTTCAGTGTTTCTAGATCCTACTGAGAGTGACTTCAGGTGATATTTGTCCTCCGGTGCCTGGCTTTAATGCAAAGTACAACTGAGAATTGGAAATGCACACTCACAGGCTCAGTGGAAACTGAGGGGCTCAGGTGGTAACTGTGTGAGGCAGCATTTCAGCATCGGTACCCGATGACTTACCTTTTCTATTGACTCTAAGGTTTCTGTATATTTTTCTTCTGTCTGCTTAATCTCTGCTAGGCAACAGCTTCGTATATCATTTTCTGAACATTTCTGCAGTTAAAATGATAAAAATAAAATTACTTAATCAAACACATGTATAAATCTATCTGGTAGCAGATACAAAGAGATGAAAATCATTGCATTTCCATCTAATAAAACACACAACTGAAAGACGTACTTAACTATATTCGCTACACGTTTGGTATGTTTAATTTTAAACAATGTAAATGAAAAAGTTCTAGGTGATTAAAAATAAGTCTCTGAATTTAGACATTCCCTTCAAATTAACACATCCCTTTCATTAAAAATGTTAATGAATCTGGAAACGGTATAACAGTTCCTTTAATACACGGCATATTTCACATGTGCTACAGAAATAAATATAAAAATACTTAAAAGATATTTAGTAAGTAAAACCTTCAAATATTTCTTCCAAGCATTAACATCTTAGTGCTTGGCTCTTTTACTAAGTGTTTAGGATTAAAGTTGGCAGAGCACAGTACTAAGATCAAAGATTTGGGGATAAGATGGAATTAGGTTCAAATACCAGTTTTATTGTTATTAGCTTTATAACTCTGAACAAGTTACAAATTTCTCTGTGGCTCTGTTTTCTCTTTTGTAAAATAGAGAAAATTACAGGGAGTTCTAATGAGATAAATGATGTGAAGCACTTGGAGCTTTGCCAGGCACTTAAGAAGGACCCTAAACAACTAAATTATTACTCCTGTTAACCCTGTCCCATATAAACTGAATAGCACTGTCAGGTGAGGGATGACTGTCCCCAGGGGTGTCACTGAAGAATCTGCTGGCACCAAAGCAGTTAATAATTACAGTAGGTACAGATGATACTTGACCTAAAATTACTCTGGAAATGAACTAGAGGTGGCATCCACTCCTGCAGTGAGTTAAAACACACATTTTTATATTTCCCAAACATAGGCCTGGTGACTTGTCTCCACCCCATAGAAGCTCCCCAGTGAGGCTCTGGGCAGGCCACCAGCCCTGTGCGGTAGGCCAGAGCAAAAAACTGAGTGTTAATAAAAGCCTAAGTAACTGACTTGTTAAAATCTCAAACTATCCATAAGAAGATAACTCAAAGAAATTCTTACTTGAGTGTTCTAGATAGAGTCAGGGCAGATAAAACTTTTGAGGGTCCAGATACACTGGGCATGACAGTATCTATAACTAAGTTTACAAAGTAGTATAAGAAAGCAAGGACATTTATAATGAAACAAAAGGGGAAGATACCTCACAATACAACCTAACAAATGGGAAGAAATATCCTTTAACATATATTTTATCTTACATTAAATTTAAAGGAAAAAATTTACCTGCTTTGTAAGAGAAGATTTACTTTCATAACAGTATAATTTCATGATTCACTGAAATTACTTTCTATTGCGACTGTGCCATTATGTAGCTGACTGGCATGTCATTTACCTCTCAGACTCGGCTTCTTTACTGGTAAAATGAAAGGATTAGACTAAAGATCTCCTACGGTTATTATGAGCAATAAAATGTCATGCTTATGACTCCAAATGCAGGAATAAGTCACAGTTACATAGATAGGTTTTATTGTTACACAATCGCCTACTTATAAGGAAGTTAAAACAAACAAAGAATATTCCAGCAGAGGTTACATAATAATTACATTACTTAGTCTTACAAGTAATCACTTTCCTAATAAAACACTCAAGAGTAATTTAAGAAACAAGTAAAAATCCTACAGGTTGATGGGCTTCCTCTGCTTTCATTAAGTCCTCATAAACTTCTCCACCTTCATCTTCCCCATAAACACAGTCATAGAGATCTTCTTCATCTTGTACTCGGGTTTCACTAAAACAAAGGACACCACGTAAAGGTCATTTTCCATTATGCAGTAAATGCAATAGCTAGAAATAGCCTACTGGGGTTTGGTTAAAAAAATAGATTAAAAGTTTTCTACTGGTTTTAGTATAAAATGCAGAGAGAAAAATGGAATCAGTGGAAAGACTCAAAAGGCTCACATTAGAGCTTGGTCCCTGCTAACAAGAATGATGACAACAGAATTCAACAGTGAGGGTGGCAGCAGCTGACATTTACTAGTTAGTCACTCTGTGTCAGCTCACAGGTGATCATTCTGCAGATCTTGTCTCACCCTATTCTTCCAGCATTAGCTGTCTTATTAGATATGCCTTATTATTTGATTCATTAAAGAGAAAGTTGCGAGACCAAAAAGTTATTTGAATTGCCAGAGATAACACAGCTAATCTATAGCAGAGCAATGATTTGAAAGCAAGTCTGGCTCACTTTTGTATTAACCACTCCATCACACAGTGTCCCCACTTTTCTCATGTTTGGAGACCTCAGTTTCATTACCCATATTAAAGGGTATAAAATGGAGAGAGCTGGAGAGTTAGGAGTATCTAATATGTTGAAAGTGCTCTGTTAACAGCATTCATTTCTTCAAGGTTATTACCATTATCTAAGCCAGTGATTTTCAAACCAGCCCACTCAGAGAGTACCTCTGATCCCCCTTCACCCAGATTCTGCTTTAATCTATTCACATTTCTTTAAGTGGGGAAGGGTACGATCTTTAAAATCATCTAAGATCTGTTAAAAAAAAAAAAAAACACTTAAAATCTGCTGGTCTTCTGGCAGTTAAAAATAATCCCCATTTTTCAAGCTTCCATGAACACTTACACAGTGATTGACGGGTCCATCTACCCCAAGCCCCTCAGATGAGACTGAATCCACTCCTCAGTCAAGGTGCTCCAGCCACTGCATGTTCCTCTACTACCTGGAAGTTTTTCCTTCCAGTTCAAGACTTCTGTAAATGCCTCTACCAACTAATTTTCCCAAAGATTGGGAAGAACCAATATAGAGATGTTGGAAGAAGCATTAATGAGAAAGAAATTCAACTCCTTTAATACCACCAGCCCTGAGTACCTCTCCTGGGCTTGTGCAGATAGAATGTTAAAAATGATATAACAAAAATAAAAACACTGTAACTATAAATGTCAGTCTACAACTTGGAACATTTTTCAATGGAAGTATAACCCACAAAGCTGTTTATGTTTGTCATGAAGGATTATTTGAGGGTATTTGACAGGAATAAACTGTCAAACATGTACAGAAAAGGAAGGTATATTAAGTGAGAGAGATTTGGTGGTAACAGAAGTTTCAGAGAATTCTGCTCTGAGAAAAAATCATTCCAGAGTCACTTGTCCACCCACCTACCCACCCATCCATCCATTCAACAGACATTTACTAAGAACTGCCTGAGTATCAGGCTCTTTAGTGCTCAAAATGTACAGATCAAGAACCTGCCTGTTGCCTAGCATGGAGAATAGCACATAAATACACAATTCTGTGTGTGCAATGATAGAGACAGTGTATAATACTGGAGCATACAAAGGAGTAAAAATAACTCTCACTAAAGAGATCAGAGGAAGGTTTCACAGAAGATATGACATCTGAGCTGCATCTTGAATATATTTATCAGTTTATTCAATAGATATTTTCTGTGAAAATATTGTGTTCCCAGACATACGGCTGCAGACCAGGGAGACCAAGTTTAGTTCTCATGGAACTTAAAACCCAGTGGGGTGACACATGCCCCCACTGAATAAAAAGAGGGGAAGAGCATTCCAGGAAAAAAAAAAAGACACTAACAAGGGCGAAAGAAGAGTGATAAGCCTGACCATGCCCGGATTAGCACCCCATTCACTGTGTCCAGGCAAGCAGGGAAGACTACTGGAGGGACAGGAGAGCCAGGCACTCTGTGAATTCAACCTCCCACTGCACATCTGGGAACCCACAGGGAGTTATTTAGATGAGGGTCTCCAGGAGGGACAAGAGACAGACAGGGAGATCAGTAAGGCAAGGTGCAACCTACTGTGAGTGAGAGAGTCTTAACTAGGGTAGGGCAGGTGAGAGGGACACAGAGAACAGGAGACAGTAAAACAGATTTCGTGACCCGTGAGAATTTTAGAGGGGAAAGGAGTGAAGGATGCCACTCAGCTTCTGCTTTGGAAATCTGAGGAAATGGCAGGCCAGGCTGGGGCAGTTCCACTATTTCTACAACAGCGGCTATCCCGGCTGGTACTCTGGTCAGGGAACAGTGGGGGCAGTTAAGTGGGTTTGAGCATTTTCTGTACACAACAAAGGACAGGAAGGGCTGGTGAGAGCACAAGGGAGCGAAGATAAGAAACAATGAAAGCACGGGTTCTGCATGGCGGGTTCTGTTCAGAAGGAAAATGAACTGTGAAATCTATTCTCCCACTCTCAGTCCCAGTGCTCCTGCTTTGCCTCCTAACGCCAGCCCAAACACACTCAGTCTTGTGTGGAAACACCAGTGAGCAGAACAAGATGAGGGAAGGCTACAAAATTAATAGGTATCAGTGACCTTCAGTGGAGTTTTTAAAAGAACAACATCATCACACAGTGCCAGAAATAATGCATTCTTCCAAATGCTTTAAAGAATCTGATTCTAGGATCAAGAATCTTACAGGGACCTAATGAAGATAGCATCTATCATACTTCATGTCAGAGTTCTTGGGAGTTTTAAGGGAAGATAAGAAAGTATTCTTACTAGCTAAAGTATGGGACTTCAAGGCCACTCTGAATGTCACCTACTCAAGGAAGAGCTGCTGGCCACAATTCGTCTGGCTCCAGGCAGCTCTTGCCTCTTCTGCTCTCCTGCTAAAAGCTTTAGAGGGTCGTGTCAGGAAGCACCCATGAGTCAGTGCAATGACTAAGAAAACTCCAGGCCCGAAGAACGGCCTAATTTTTAAATCCAAGGTCTGCTATTTGCTAGTTCTATTACCTCCAGCAAGTTACTTAGCTTTTCAAATTTTGGTTTTCTCATTTGAAAACTGCAGTAACAGTAGACACCTAAAAACATGGTGGTATTACAGGACACTGATAGTGCATACAAACAAGCTAGCACACACAAGGATACTTGGCTAACTTTTATTACAAAAGTTAGACAGCCCAGGCCTGAACCACAATGCCTGGTAAACAGTAGATGCTGAATGCAGTTTTGGCTTATTCATTCATTTATGGAAGACCTGCTATAAACCGGACACTGCTCTAAGTTCCAAGAAAATAGCCACCGAGTGAAATCTCTGATCTCGGACAGTTAACCTTCTAATGAGGACAGACAATAAATGAAGCCAGCCAACACTGTGTCAAGTAGTTGCAAGTGCTACGAAAATGCAGAGCAAGGTGAGGGGGTGGTGGCGATTTTACACAGGGTCATCAGAAAAGGTCTCCATGCAGAGGGATGTCTGAGCAAAGACATGAGTAGTGAGGGAACCTGTCATACGGTCAGAAAAAAATGGCAAGCATAAACCTCCTAAGCTAGAACACACTCGGTGTGTTGGATGCATGAATGGATGGATTTCCACAGATGTATCAATCTCTCTTGGAGCATAGTCTGTTTCTTTAAATTCTTTGCAATTAGGCCTGATGTACATCATCGGTTCTTTGTGGAGTGAGGATCATGTTGTATATTTATTTGTAATCTTCCCAAATCACTCAAACAGGAGAAGAAAATAAGCTGCGAGAACATTCTGCCTCTCTGGACTACTAAAGAACAAAGCCTGACAAGAGTCTCTGTGCAGTACCAACGCCACCTGCTGAACCATCCCTGAACAAGGCCAGCTCCCACCTGGGTTGTCCTGGCCTTGCACTCACAAGGCACATACTATCTGTCCTACAACTCTAGTCATCGATTCCATTTATTTTTAATCGTTGCCAACCGTCTAATTTCAGTTTTATCTATGACTCTACTATGCCTCTGAGAAACTTCCAAATTTTTTCTTCATTGCAATATGTTTCTTTACTTTTCACAGGGATATGAGAACTAAAAGCCAGTGGGAGTATGTTTCTTATGAAGCTTTCCACCACCAGTTTAAGGTCATTTCTTACATGGCTTCATCATTAAGTCACCTTTGCCCTTCAGAGAGCTTACTGAACATTCACAGTTAAGACCCAGGCTGGACCAAAACATGGTCATGGTTTTATTTTGCTGAAAATGTTCAACATACTCTATTAAGTCAGGAAGGCCTTTGTAGATGTCTTCATCATTAACGCTTTCTTCTGTTGGGAAGGGCCTAGAAAGGGGGAGAAACACAGGTGAATGAGCAACCCCAAGGTGAGCATTTACTTCTCACTAAATATTAAAGTGTATCTGCTACAAAATGGTCAGATGGGTCATCCTGCCCCATGTCTCCCAAGGTCTAGAGCTTGGGCCAAAGTGCCTGCAGAGTGCTGTGCCTGGGGTGTCCCAGGATGGCTGCAACACCTGTGACCCCAAATCATCTGCAGCCATTACAGCTGGCTTCCACAGACACATGTGCAATTGGGGGCCTACTGAAGTGCTGGTCTAATCCCCCACCCATCACATCCATGCAGGGCACCCCATAGCACCCACAGAGTTCTCACTCACAGGTTAAACACCCTCTCTTTTCAGCTGTAAGATCTGACCTGACAAATAATATTGTAACACCATCCTTCCAAGGACCCAGTTCACTCGAATAGATGAAAATGATCACAAGACAAAAGCATTATTCCCTTCATCTCTAATTCCTGGCTTAGACATGTTTTTCTACTCTGATTTTAAGGTATTCAAGTTATATTTTTTAAATTTTCATTTCTTTGGACAAATAAGTCAATCAGATTTATCAGAGGGAATAGGATGTTTGTCCCCTGATTAGTAAAATCATACTTTATCTCCTATTCCTAATATTTGGCTTCCCTGTTTGCCTCATCATACTATGTATTTGTTATAATAAAAATACAGTGCCCTACTTTTATGCCTAACAAAGCCACAGTAATTATACTCCAGGACTGAAAAGTTTATTTTTTCTTACAAGACAGCTAGCACATTATGTGTTTCATAAAAGCAAGAGAAGTCATCAAAATAATAAATGTTTTAAATAATTACTAGTTATTTTGAAAAGCAGATATTCACATGAGATTCTGGATAAATACTTAAGATATTTAAGGAAACTGTTTTTCAAACAAATCAATGTGCAAGAAACAGCAAAGTTTCAAAATCATTATTTTTATAAATTCAGGCACATTTAATTATGCTTTTAGGGCAATACAAGTCCATTACAGAAAATATATATAAGCAAAATTAAAAATACTTCTGACATATGCCCTTCCAGAATAAAAAATACAAACATAAATAAAAATGGGATATTTTAAAAAATCCACTTTCATATAACAACATAAAATGAATGTCAATATAGGAAGATAACCATGTATTGAAGAGCAAATTAGGAGGAACTAAAGAACTATCCAGCCTACAGATCACTTCTGAACAAAATCTAGGCCCATTTCTGAGAAAGAGTCTGTAAAGTGCTCTCCCTGGGGCCACTGTGCTTGATATCTAGGGACTGGGCTGCCTGGCCAATGCCGAGCACTCCTGTAGGGTATGCTCTCTCCCTTAGCATACGAAGATGAGCTGGACATGAAAAAATGGAAGCAACAGGGGCAGAAATACAGACTCAGAGTCCCATGTTGAATGCAGACTGAAATAAGGAGCCCTGAGGAAATAAGGTCCAAAACAAAATCCATTCCATCTCCATGCAGCCTGGCTGTGTTGCTACTGAAACTGCTTTTCTTCATTCCCTAATGTCACTTCTGCTAGGTCTTAACTGACTGATGTGATTTAAGAATGTAGTATTAGAAACAGAAAAATTCCCAAGCAACACATTTCTGTGTTTCTAGGTTTACCAACTGCAAGATGCTCTACTGCAAGGAGATGGCATAATTTATTTAACCAACTTCTAAGTTTTTAATGAATTACCAAACCTTCAATACACATCCTTGTATACATATCATTATATACTTGTCTGATTAATCCTTAAACTCTTAAAGTTGTGAGTTATCTTTATGGTCTACTTTACAGGAAAAAAAATGTATTACCATATATTTATATATTTTACTTACTTAAGCTTTGTATTTGTCCATGTATAGAAATGTTGAAGGAGGTTTAAAAGAACATGAACCATACCAGAGACAGTCACCACAGTGAACTGAAAACAACATTTAGTGTGTCTTATTCAACTCTATAAACAAGTTCTTACTTCCTCAAAAAAATTTCAAATGTGTATTTGGCCCATATAAAGGTGTTTTTGCAAACTTTTCATACATAATCATGACAATGAACAGCATGTGACATATGAACCACATACCTGATTCCTGTGGCCAATGCTGTGGGCGTTCGAGAAAGTCGCGATAAAGTTTCTATAACCTGAGAAAAAGAGGAAAATGTTAACTGAACCTATATTTCTGCATATATAAGATAAACCATAGTTTTCCAATCTTTTACAATGGTAAAAGAAATTTAAACTTGCAGAGGCCAAAAAGTACTGAGTGGGGAGAGTCAAGATTGGGAAGTATAAGATCCTGGATTATATGTACACATCATAATTTTAAATTCCACCTTTATGTGTATGTGTAAAGCATCAATCAAAAAATAAATAGACAAGTGAAAGTAAGATCAGTAGAGTAGATGGAGGAGAACTAGGGGAGGGACAAGGGAATGGAAAGGCAGGGGGAATGTTGATTGTAATGGAGAAAATCAAATTCCATGCATGCATGATTTCATAAAAATGAACCCAACTGCTATGTATAACTATAATTCCCTGATTTTTTTTAAAATCCTGGATTATACTTTGTTCCTTTTTTTTTGACTTTACAAGTTAAAGCAGATTACTAATCCATCTGAGTTGCCATTTCCTTGTCAGTAAAACAAAGAAATAGACTGGGTGACTCCAAATGTCTGATAGCTCTGCTTCTCCAAACCCTAAGGGATCACATAAAGCTGTGTTCTCCGTCATGATAACCACTAGTCGCATGAGGTTAATGAATTAACTTAAAGTTTTTAAAAATTCAATTCCTTGTTTTTGCTAGTCATATTTTAAAGTGCTCAGCAGCCACAGAGGCTGCTGTACTGGACTCACACTTATTTCCCATCATCACAGAAAAGCGGTTCAAAGGGTGGACACCTGAGCCAGACCTGTGAGTTCAAACCCTCCAGTGCCCACTTATTAGCAGATAGCTTTAGACAAATCATCAACTTCTCTAGGCTTTCAAATCTTCTTCCCTATAATGCCTCTAATAATAATTAATGATCATTAGACTTTTTAAGGATCAAATAACACATGCAGAATATTTAAATAGTAGCAATTCTTTATAATCACCAAATTTAAGAAAATTGCCTTATTCTGTTTTCAGAGAAAAAAAATTGTTCTAAATTACCCCTGATTATCTATTTCAAAGATTACTTATGAAGATCTTCAGTATCTAAACCTAAGAGTGCTCTGCTACAGTTTCAGCATTAGTGCTCAGTACTTTTACCCTCCTTTCAATCTTTTATAACTAAGATCATCTATCATCTTATTCAAAACACTCAGGAAGCCAATGACCTAATATGTATTTCTCTCATAGTCTTCTTTTTCTGATAATAGATAACATTTATCCTGACTCTCAAAATTAAACAAAATAAAACTTACAGTGGTTATACCATATGGCCCATTCAGAATGGAGAAGGGGTGGTAAAAGAAAAAACAAATTGTCCAAGTTGAAGTAATCAAATTTCTCACTTCAACAGCAAAATGTAAGTCTGCAGTCCTCTGCAGAAACCTTTTAAAGGTATTGGTGACACAAGAACTCACCTCCAACCTGCATCAGGAGGCAGTAGGTTGTGGTGGTTAGAAATGCATGGCTCTGGAGTAAGAATACCTGGAGCCCTGGTTACCAATTTTCACCTAAGCTCAACTTTACTCTGTAAAATTCAAATAATAGCTATTAACTACCTCATGGAGTGATTGAAAGAATCAAATTAAATAATACTCATCAAATGCTTCACTCAATAAATGTGAACTTTTATTATTACATAAAATAAAATTATTGTACAGAAATTAAATCTATTTACATGGTGACTATAGATAATAACAACATATTCTAAAAAAAGGGAAGAAATTTTAAATGTTCACATCATGAAAAAATAAAAACTATGTGAGGTGATATAGCCCTAATTCAGCCATTCCACCATGCATACACATTTCAAAACATGTGGTACAGGACAGATACATATAATTTTATCAGTATAAAATAATTTTTTAAAAAATCTTTAAGCTTATTAATAAAAGACAGAAGGGAGCATAACTCTTTAGGATGGTTCTTATAGGTTAAATGGAACAAGGGACATGGTGACAAGATGAGCATGTAACAGTGTAACCATAACCTCCTGCTGCAACCTTGAGAGGTAGAGGAGAAAAAGAAAATTTAATTGAAAGACTTCAATTTTTTTCTGGTTAACTGTGTATCAAGGCAAGATAATCACTTAGCTAAAACCTGATATTGATTAGTTCCCAATAAAAGTAAAAAAAAAAAATTCAACAAGTCTGTAAACTCAGAAGTTCACAAATGAATAAATGCTAACAACTTTATCAAAGTGAAATGATTCAAATAATTATTTGCTAAAATTCCAAACTTATGCAATTATTGAGTGAAAAGTCTAGCTTTTGGAAAGTTCTGAAATGATCTGTGGAATAGTATTTAGATCCCTGAATTAACTATATTACTGAATTTAAGCATGTGCTTTTAGTATACTGTAGAAATGTCAAAGTTATAGGGAAAAATCTGCCTCTAATTCCATTACACACTTTGGTCTAGCACTGTCACTACTAAATAACAACAAAATCCCAGGAATAGCAGTACTATTGCTATGCATTTTATTATTTATTTTAATAGCAATGTATTTTATATGTAATGTAATAAGTTCCTTTGTCTTCTATACTAATGATATGTTTACAAAATAAGAATGCATTTCCTGCCTTTGTTCCACCAACAAGATCAACTATAACCTGTCCCTTTACACACACCCTGGAAAAAAGATAGCTTGAATTTTATATTAATGTCCACCAGAGGGAGCCAAAAGACAGTCTATTAGTTTAACCCTGCCTTGAACATGTTCTAAGCAAAAACTTTTCTGAAAATTAACAAGCTAAAACCAACTCCCCATTATTTATTTAACAAGGACTATTCGTCACCATTCAGTAATAGAAAACTATCAAAGACACATTTGGGAGTAGAGGCTGGAAGGATGGTATGCAGTGCATCTTCAAGTGAGTCTGGAGAACCACCAGTCAGTTCTATTGTCTATCCTTTCACACATAAAGTCCATCCATTAACTCTAAGTTTAGCCAAAGCAAACAAGGACTGTTTAGTTAGTACTGTGTTTTTAGAACAATGAGTACTCTATAAAGGCAGAGTGCATCTGGATTTGGAATAGACACATATACAAATTAATGCCAGATTCTCAAAACTTCTCGGTGGAGACTGACTTGCCATTTCAAATATCCATTCAAAAATGTTTACAAGAGAAAACATCCTCAAGTAGACTAAAAAGATGATTTTCCTTATAATGTGCTAATTTCTAAATTATTTATCTCAAAATAATAGAAAACTAAATAGAAATGTCCTTTCCCAGAAAGGAAGGTAAGTTAGTAAGAATGTTTGCAAGTTAAAAGACTAACAATCAATTATACTAAATCTACATTATGTGTTTTCTTTCTTTACCTATGTCCAACCCTTGGTGGGCAAGAAGAGTGGCATTTATAAAGAAATGAAGATCATCTGGGCATAATGTCAATAATAGCCATTGCAGGAGAAAGGTGGAGGGGGTGAGCAAGGCTTCTTGTGCTGGATTTACAAGAGTGTGCTGGGGGATGAAATTCTAGAAGCAGTAAAGGGTCTTTGAGAAAGTTTAGCAACAGATCACAGGGTCTCACTTGGATTTTGGAAAGATCACTCAGCAGAGTGAAGAACAGACTGGGAAAGGAGAATAGAGGCAGAAGCAGGACAGGAGACACCTAGGGCATTTCCTTAACTGTCCACAGGAGAAATAAGAAGGGTGAACCAAGATGACAGTCGTAGAGACAGACAAGAGGTGGAGATGCGAGACATCCTCAGGAAGAGTGGCTGGAGCCCCACAAAGGCTGAAGAAGGATGTAGAGCCCTCAGCCACCTTAGCAAACTGTTGAAGCCCTGGGAGAGGTAGACCCAAGGGGTTTCCCATCCTCTCCTCTTCCCTGTGGGAGGCTGACGGGTACATCCTGAGCTCAGCAAGGCTCTCTGGTCCTCCAGGAAGCCTTCTCTCAGCCTCTTCCAGCCCCAGCCTGGGTCTTTGGTGTCTCCATAGGACCCTGGATATAATCACCTTATTTAAAGTAATAGTTGACTTTTTAAAAATATTTGAAAAGAATACATGCTTATTTTGTCAAATTGAAATAATGTTAGTATATAAAAGTTGCCCTCCCCTCATTAAAAGGAAACTATAGCTAAGAATCTGTGTGACTTGTAGAGAATTTTGGTCTTTTCCTTTTCTCTTTTATTATTCTTTAAAGTAATAGGTTCTTGTTGTACAGATTTTTCTACTGCAGGCTTTTGTCACTAAAAATAAATCACAATCATGTCAGTATGTATAGATCTACTTTATTCATTTTAATGCTGTGTAACACTCCAGTGTAAGCAAATAATGATTTTGCCATTCTCCTGCCAATGAGCTTTTTCAACGTGTTGCTACAAAACCTGCAATTACCATCCCTGCCAAATATCTTTTCAGCTGTAGGCAGGCATTGCTATAGGAAAAATTCTTAAATAGGAAGACGGGGACAAAAGGCATGAGTAGGGCTCTCCGTGATGTTTTCTTGAACTTAGATACCCCTGAAGAGCATATAAGAACATAACAAGGCATTCCGGTCATCCCTTTATTTGTCTGTCTTTCCCACAATGAAAACTACCTTTCAGGTACAGGAATGAAACTGCTTCTCGCCTGCTGTGTTCCCATCACCTAGTTCACAGCCAGGCTCCGAACAACAACTTCACACAAAAATACGTTGCTTTAAAAAAAAAAAAAAATGAATGAATGACACTTGCCTTGCAAAGTTGTTGTGAGACTAAGGGACAATATGTCAAGATGTGTAAAGGGCTTTAGGCTGGCACAAGTGGGAAATGAATGAAGAATCAATGAATCATTGAAGAAGAAACCCACCAGGAAAATTAAATATAGGAACGAGTGGCCTATCTCCTCAAGCCTGGGGCCAACACACATGCTAGTGCCCACTTCAAACTTTTTCTCTCGGATGATGACTTTTATTTTGTTTGAGCTCTATTTTTACCAACCTGTTAGTTTTAAAACTACGAAATCAAACAATGTGCTGAAGAGGCTGCCCATTTTTACCT